GTGTGCCGGGATGATCGGATGCGGTTGACTTTGGTGCAGAATTCTCTCTCGCCTAAGTAATCTTTCAGCCATGCGAGAAGTGCTCCAGAAACACCCGTCTTGCTTATTTTGTGAAGAAGCAGACCATGGTGAACTGTGTCGATTGCTTTCGCAAAGTCGAGAAAGATCACATGGACTGGTACCTTTACATCCCAGGATAGTATCCAATCGTTCCAAGCTAGTAGAAGATTCGTCACACAGGATATTCCCCTCCTGAAACCGTGCTGTGCTTCATGGAGTAGGTTAGTCCCGTCGAAGCATTTTCTCATGTGGTCGTCAATGAGACTTTCCAATATCTTCGATATCATTGGGAGTAGCGCAACTGGTCTGTAACTGGTCGCATGCTGCCGGTCACCACCCTTGAAGATGGGGGATAGGATGGCTCGTTTCCATTCACATGGAAGTTTCCCTACATCAAAGGAGTGTTGAAACAGATTACTAAGGGGTTGGCAGAGACTTTCTGGACACTGCTTCAGGACGGATGGTCTTATGTCATCGCAACCTGCAGACTTTCCCGAAGCCAACTTTCCCAATTTTACGAGTACCATGGCCGGGGTAATTTGAAATGTACCCAGCAGGTTTTCGCACGTTTGTTTTGCATTGTAATCTTGATGTTTTGTGGGGGTAAAATCCTCGTTACTGTTCAGTTGCCTGTGAAAGGCTAGACTGAATGTCTCTGCCATTTCAAGACTAGTGAGAGATTTCCCATCAGAACCCACTAGATTGCCAGCTCCCTGGTTGGTCGGTTTTCTTTCAGACATAAACCTGTATAGGCTTTCGGGGTTCACGAGAAGCTTATTGGCAAGGTTTCTCTGAAATGCCCCTCTATCACTCCGGACTCGTATGTTACATCGATTCCTGAGTTCAAGGTACACTTCATGTTCGGGTTGACTCTTCGATACCCGCCACGCAAACCGGGCTTTTCGCTTCGCCCGCAGAAAGCGTTTTGTCCCCCTTATTAGCCATGAAAGTTGCTTTCTAGCTTTTGGTGTGACTAAACGAACAGTGTCTGAGACCGCCTGGTGAATGATCTCCTTTACCACTCCCCAGTGTTCTTCTACTGTAAGCTCTGTCCAATTTTTTGGCCAATTTGCTTCAGACAAAAGTCTTCGCATTTCGGTGTAATTGGCTTTGTTATAACACAGATAGGGCTGTGTATTGTCCCACTGTAAGCGCTCGCGGAGGACTATGTCGAATGTTATGACCGCGTGGTCACTACTACCTATGGGAGTCGTGATCTGAACGTTTTCTACTAGTAGCTGGTCACTAGTGAGCACATAATCCAGCCTAGAAGACTTCCCGTCTGGGTCCCATCTAGTATCCATTCTGACATTTTCAGTGAATCCGGCTTCCCTGATGGTATGCAGCAGATTTCGATCAAATCTATCATGGGCATATCCCGTCATCAAGATAAGAGATGGGGCATTGAAGTCGCCAGCTATGACAATTTGATCATAACCCATGTCTTGTGTCGCTGAAATTGCATTCAGCAGTACCTGGTTGTGGTCTGCTCCACATGAAGTTGATCTGTAAATGCTGCCCACTAGATACTTACAGTACCCAACGGTGAAATGGCACCATATGGAGTCAGGGAGCTCAATGAGGGGAGGGTCGATTGCATGGACACATCTGAGCTGTTTGTGGACGTATATGGCGACTCCACCTCCTTCTTTCAGATCCCTATCTCGCCTGACTTGGACCATGTCATTTATACTGACTTCGCTGTCTGTCACCATAGGGGTTGGCCAGGTTTCCATCAGTATTATGATTTTGGAGTTCAGCTGTGGTTGAAGGTATCTAAGTTCATCTATTTTGCCTCTTAGACCTCTCACATTACTGTACAGGCAACTGGTAGTCAGTCTCACCACGTCCCCGTATCGGAGGGGGGTGGTTGACGTGATGTGGGCTGTCGGTTGAGGAGTTATCCTACGAGCTAGTTGGCCGATTCCCCAGGAACCGCCCTGTTGGCGTTTTTTTCTCCTAGTTCAATCGGAGCACTTGGACGACACTGGCTATCATCGTCCGTGCTGCACCGATGTAGTGTTGTAACAACAGAAGACAAGGGCCAGGCAACAGATCAGTTTTATTACGAAGACCAACAGGTATTTATATGTATTTTACGTACATTAATAGGCTTCTGCCCGCAGAAAGAAGGCGGTCTTCTGATTGGTTGTTTGCAAACAAACGCCGTCTTCTGCTTTCTCGTTTTCGATATTTCTCGGAAATGCGAGCCACTTGTCTGCGAATCATATTTGTCCACGTCTAGGTCAGCTGTGATCGGTTGTTGAATCAGCCTAGATTAATTTCTGCCAATCAGCGTAGATCAATGTCTACCAACTGGCTAGCAGCTTGCTCTCACCACAGTGTGACCAAGGGTTGAGAATTTTCTTTGACAACGCTTCGTTCTCTCCTTTGGGTACGAGGCCGGCTCTTGCAGCAGCGAATGTATCTGCTGACCTTGACCTTGGTCTCGCACCATCTCTGGAGAGCAGTAGTCAACTGGTCTCGGGAGCTGAACTTGACAGCTAACAGACGTGGCGTGTAAACTGACATAAGGTGAGTGGGTCGAGGCAGTCTTTAAATAGAGACAGCCCCTGAACTTCCCAGACCCATCTGGGATGCCAACCATCTCCATTGCTGTACATCATGACAATGCTTCTCGCAAGGGTTTCCAGCTACCAGTTCGGGAGTGCCGTGAACAACCATGGAGGCAGAAAGAATTAGCTCTGGCGACTTCCTCGCCATCTGTCTTTCCTTCCATGGCCTGTCTGGTCTAACACGTATATTGCAGGCCCTCCCTATAGGAAGGACTAGAGAAGTCAGTAAAACTTTTTCGACATCCTCAGTAGAGCCCAGTGTTACCCTCAGTGGGGATGGTTTGCCTTGAGGTGCAGCAGTGCCCCTATACAATCTGCAAAGTTCTACTGGTTGGATGTCCAGACCCAGTGTGTTACACAAGTTGGACCACTGTTCCTGATTAAACAGGGCCCTATTTTCCAGCAGACTACTACTACAGTCTGGTACATAAAAGAGGATTACGCAGTTTGATCTACTAACCGTGGATTTAGGCTCGGTCCTCGCACATTTGTCATCCCCTTTAAGACCGTTTTGTTTCGTCTGGTGTGACTGGATATTATTGTGTGCTTCATTGCCGTGGCCACTATTACTGGCAGACGATAAGGGTCTTTTCCCAGCAACAGATACCCTTGGTGCTTCAGCCTCTGTGTCTGGGGCAGTTATGGCAGGAATTGCAAGTTTAACCGGTGTGGATTTTGGTATCCCCGATTTACGTGCAATTGTGCTGTTTTCCGAGTTGGTGGGAGTAGAACGTTTCACGTTTTTCCCTGATACCTCTACGCCATCTTTAGTTTTCAAGGAACTACAAGAGGTTGCATCAGGGCGGCAACTTGGGCATATGTACCAGAACCATGGGCATGGGTTCTTACGCATGAAATCGTAAAATACTTTTGGTACCCCGGTGTCGCATCTACAATGTACCCATTGCTTGCGAAAGTTGCATTCGAAGGCAGAGTCTACTTGTTAGACGACAGAATCGCAGACCTTACAGTCGTCTGCATTTTTGAAGAACGTTTTTTTGTCGTCTTGCGACTTCGTGAACGTTTCTTTTTAGCCTTCCTGTTTGTTTTAGGGCCTACTATGGAGATGGGTGTTATACTATTCTCACTTTGTGCAGATTTACCACTCGGCTCTATTAACCTAGTCGTGTTAACGGGGATGGAGCCACATCCGCTTGGTTGACTTTTCACAGTTTCACTGTAGGACTGTGGCGACATGGGCAATCTGTTCACGCAGGGAATATTTACCTTGGTCTTCAAGACCGGTATGCGAGAGTCCATCACCTTCACCTGTTTGCCTAATTTGGCTGAAGCCCTGATGACTACGGTGTATGGTGTCCCATTACTTATCTTAGGGTGAGAATCTATAGTCATATTACTCGTATATTAATACTGATGATTAAATAATAAGAGACAGTGGAGTTGTTTTGTCCAATAGACTGACAGCGAAAGACAATAGAAAGCACAGAACAGAAAGATAAAGTATATAAGTAAAAGCTTTTGACTTTACCTGTAACTTTCGGGTTATTCAGCTTCACAACAGTCACGTAACAGACTAACAAGTCCTGTATATTTGAAAGAGTGAGGAGGATGTTGCTACAGAATTAGCACCTGAAGCTTAGGCAGTAGTTCGAGACAGTGGGAAGTACCACACACAGGCTCTGTGAAGAAGAAGTGGTTGAATAAAATTCGCCGGATAGGAAGATCAGGTTTCCCAAACGAATTATTCACAAAAGTGGATATTTCCTGTTAGAGAGGAAAATGAATCTGGATAATACGTTGAGGACACCTTGGAGTGACATCCCAGACCAGCGTCTCATATGAAACCCGAAAGCAAAACAGAGAGTTGGGCCTTTCAAGAGCACGGTGTGAACAGGAAAATTAAAGCTTATGGGCAATCATAGAACCAGGTAAAAATACTTGAGAGAACGGAGGGAAATGGAAACTTGCTGCCGAAGCCCTATGTTCCACATGATTTTTTTTTAAAATTTTTTAAATTTTGATTTACAGCTTGATTCCACACCATATTTTCAGTACAAGTATGGAATTTTCAGCATGGATATCGGTAGCCCAAATTCAGGCCGACCATAGATATCGGGTGTGCGCCGGCAGGGGATCGAACCCCGGACCATGTGCATGGTCGGCGAGAGTCCTAACCACTGTGCCACCGACGCACATTACAAAATACTCAGAGGACGAATATTAATAATAACCCACCGAAAACCAGTAGCCATCAATTAAAGGCAAAAAGCAGTCATGAAGAAATTAGATAATTTACGATATTACCTTGGATATTGAAATGAAATCTTTGTCGTTTGTTCACACCAGATTGCAATTTACTTGAGCCAGTGTTACTTTCGAAAGTTAACATACTGGCATAGCAACATGCCCATTCCAAGCAAACCAAGAGACGTATGTTATTTTCTCGTAGTTTCCATATGCAAACAGTGTTCTACACATTTAATGTACACTGAGCTGTTACAAATTACTTTTTTGATTAATCTAGTCTCAATTGCATACTCTGAGGAAGGCTTCCCAAGCTTACAATAATGCTGAATTAAATCTCAGTAATTCTGAAATAATTCTAGCATCCTATAGTGAGTAAATTCTGAATCTGTTCTTGAATGGTTTGTTTAATGGCAGAGACTAGAACTCAGTGCTGGTTTTCAGCATGACTAGAACTAATTCAGTACCGTGTTCTTTTTCTCGGCATTTTTAGGAGTAGATCAGAACATACTGGGTTTGCTTATCAGCGTTGTTCCAGCCCTTACAGGACATATTCAGCACTGACTAGCATTACTTCAGGACGAAAAGACTTAATTCAGCACATAGTGGCAATTTTTTCAGCTTAATCCTAGCCTTCTCAGCACATATTCAGCACTGATTAGCATTACTTCAGAACGAAAAGACTGCTACTTATTGTCATCACTTGTGTCCTACGCTGGCGCAATTCATTCAGTTTACAGAAGGAAATCAGTTTTTATAATTGAGAGAATTTTGTATTTAATAAACTGTCACTGCAAATCCGTCAAGTGAGATCCACTGGTAGCATCCTGTAAATAAGCAAAATAGAAGATTAGTTGATGAAAAATAGTTACAATTGTAACTAGTTTGAACTAATTACTCCAGAGCTAGTGAATGTTACATGTAGTGGAACGTGACCGCAACTATTTCACTGTCATTTTACCTGCTGTTTGTCAGCGAACTAGATCAAAATGTGACTCTTCCGAATTGAGATTCACCATTTAGTCACAGCAAGACCAAAGGAATATTAGGAAAGAACGATCGTTTAAATTAAAGGATTAATATTGTGTTCATTAAAATTTCACCACTTCTAAATTACAGTAAAATTGACATTTTTCAGCTGTACCAAACTTAAACGTATTGTAATTCTGTAATTACAGTAATTAATGTAGAGACAGCGTCAGTAAAGGTTAGAGTTCTCTTTTGTAAAGTGAGTAAATACTGAGGAGAAGAAAAAACAGATTATCCTCACAGCTGAGCCGCCTTAAAATGGCACTACCTGTACAAATTCCAGGCTGACTTGCATTTTTCTACCACTATTTCTAATCTCATGTAGGCTTAAATACACGTTTACATCTTTTTGATTATTTCTCAGACCAAACTATTTTCGTACTGTTTAGTGGTTGGTAACGAAATCTTTTATTCTTATAGAATTCTGCTTTGTTTGTGACTCGTACGATGTACCGCAATAAAACAAAGTGGGATAAGTGACTCTTAGAGTCATCGTTCAAGGGTCGTGCCAGTCATTTTGTGAATGCCGTATTGAGAACGTACAGCGCTTTGTATGAAATCACGCGAATCTGTCGTAGTTTATGGAGAGTTATCTTTTTAATTGATGATGGCTACTACTTCCTTATTGAAATGTTAAATCTCATTATCATTGTCTGCCATTTCGCAATATTTTGTAATTATACTCAGCTCAGCACGTTTGTCACACAAATACTATTTATTTTGAAACCCCGTAACTAATCCGTTATTCTACGTAAAAGTGTTTCCACCGCATAACTGGCCACTATTGTAACGACAACAAATATTATATTTTATAATTGTAAGAACCTGAAGGGAACTTATTGAAAAGAATGTTTTTTTTCAGATTGACCTTTAATTGAATAGTCTAAATGCGAAAAATATGCTTTCACTATCTGGTTTTGAGTATTGTTCCACAAAGTTTCAAATGTGTATCGTGAAGGCAAATTTAGTAGGTGACCTTAGGAAGTCACATGTGATGTTTTACATCAATATCAATGGAAAATTAAAATTTTGTAGTGAGAGGACAAAAGTAATAATAAGGATAATGTGAATAAAACTCAAAGAAAGAAAAGTAATTAGCAAGCTAGCATGGAAAGTATAAAGGGTTGTAAAAGTTTCCAAGGTCGAAGGTTTATTAAAGAATAAAATCATACGCTTCAATTTAACTTTTTATGGGATGCAACTGAAACCTCTTAGAGGGGTAATACAATGTGTAGAATTGTAAACTAAACTTTTAAATTTGAAGACATTTAGGTTAGATCTCCACTATGATTAATGGAAATATGAATACATTAAATTAACTCTTTTTCACCTCAATTAATTTCTGTGGGTAGTTAGGGTATCTATGCCTAATATGTTTGGTAAAGAAATTATGAGAAAAAGAGACTGATGGATGTTCAGGCTTTATTAATAATAGTCAGTCGCCTTGTTTTAAGTGCATCACACTATAAATTCAGTGGAGAGCTTGTGCGTTTGTTATGGCCCTCTGAATCACTCTTTTTTCATCATTTATTTTACGTGGATATATAACAGTCATGTAATCGTTATTTTGCCAAATTTCTCATTTTCATTTGCTTATTTAGTACAGGGAATCATTTTTATTTTTAAGTGAAGCATAATAATTAATTTTGTGACTTTGTTCTGTATGAACTCGTTCACACAGTATCAATACTTGACAATGTATTATATGCTTACATGACTTCATGTGAGGTTTTACTGACAAAATTTCAAGCCTACTTTTTGTTTAAAGTTGTCGTTTTTCTAAACACTTAGGCTGCAGAAAGTAAATATTAGCTGACTTTTAATTAAGAGTCGCTTGATTAGTAGGTTTTTGTTCATGTGGTTTCAACGTTTCTCACCATTATATATAGTTGACCAGAAAAATTTCATCCATTAACAGTCTTTCATTGAATTTATGAATCATACTTCATTGACATGAACTTTATATACTGGAGAACATGGTAGATTGTACAACATGCATAATGTTACGACGGGAAACTGAGTTATGGATGTGTACAGGTTAGTAACCAGCCCGCAAGAATGAAGTATGAGATATTAACTGCAGTAAACAGCGCTGTTCCTTAGCCAGCTACCGATCGTTTTTGAGTTGTAAATGGGATTTTAAGTGGTTGACAGAAAATACAGCTACTTACAGAAGTCCAGATAACATTTAGAAGTGAAATTTAAAAAAAGAAATAATTCGGTTAGACCTACCTTTGCTAATTTCACACGTTTCTTTATCTCAGGTGTTATAAAGAATTATAACATGATTGTAATGATATACATCAGTGACCACGGATAATGTCAAAATAATGCTGAAATTATTAAAGCTTCATCATAAGCTGTTCACCTTTCGTTTATTTCTATTCCTATTTTCTGACTATTTATTATTATAGCCGTTAGAGAAAGTGATTCCGAGAAATCCTAAATATGAGGATATTGAACCAACTATTGACACAGGAGCAAGTTTATCAAAATATCTTAAGAGAATGGAAGAAATTCGTGAAAGTAATTCAAAACAAATTGAAACATTCTTCTAACGGTAATAATAACAGATTATAAAATGAAAGATAATGAAATATTTAAACGAATGAAAGTGGCAACATTTGTACAACTAATCTTACAAATAGCAGAAGTAAGACAAAACACTAAATCATGCGGTAAGGATGTATCCAATGTAACAGCAGAAATAGGTAAATCTTTATATGTATATATGTATATAATTGTTTAAAGCTGACAAAAGCAGTGTCACTAGTAAATCGAAAAATGGTAATAGTTCTGTTCAATCCAATGGCGACCCACCACCAACTGCAAGGTCTACACTTGAAAGGTTGGTAACACCTTAGATAAATGTGCATATTTGAATGTATATTAATTTCGCCCATACTTTTTAGTTTGAATCTGTCAATGGATTGTACCGACATCTTTGTTAATTTCCATATTGAGACTGTAACATCAAAGTCTTATCAACTAGGCTTCTGATATACCACTGGTGATGGTAGTCATTCAAAGATGTACAATTTTAGAAGTGTGATTGAAATCCCTAATTGACGAAAGCTTTATGATAACAGTTCGGTATTTCCTTTTGTTCTTAAGACCATCTTCAGTATAACAGTTGGTGACAATGGTCCGGAGCGGAAAGACGGGAATACTTTGGAACGATGAAAAGACTCTAGAAGATTTGGACTTTGCGGATGATTTATGTCTAATATCACACAAACTTGGGGACCTACAAGCAAAAACTACCAAGTTGTCGGGTGAAGCAGTGAAGACAGGACTTGAAGTGAACACAGAGAAGACGGAAGTGAAGTTGCCTAACTAACAACAATAAGCACCGATCACTATCAACCGGAGAATTTCGGGGAAAGTTACTCCTCTCACCTATTTAGGCAGCATCATCTCAACTACAGGCGGCACAGATGAGGATGTCACAGTCAGCTGGCATCGGAAAAGCAAGACACTCGTTCATTACACTGAAATCAGTGTGTAAATCCATTCCACTAAGCATAATGTACAAGATACGGATTTTCAACACTAAACTAATGTCATGTCAATCACCGGTTCCATGGCGTTCAGAGACTTGGCATGCTCACCATCGAACACATTTCGAACAGGCCGCTGAAAACTTTCATCAGCAGCTTCCTTCGATTTATACTGAAGGTCAGATACCCGGTCGGGAAGGATCAGCCATAAGGAACTCTAGGAATGCACCAACCAACCAAGGAACTGTTACTCAACAAATATACTGTAGAAAATAGGGATGGACTGAACACGCACGCACTGAGAAGACCGTTGAGTGGAATTGTGCGCTAGGTCCTTGAGTGGAACCTGAATGGGAAACGACGAGTTGGGCGTCGCCTTGAAGTTGACATGAAGGAGATCGTGTGGAGATAAGAGCGCATATGGGCAACCGTGGAGCTAGCTGGAGACGAATGCAGGTAGCAGGATGAAATGGAGATATGCTGTTGCTATGGGATTTATAATAATAGTTATTGACCAGGTAATGAGAAAAATCCATTCGTTGTGTATATAGATTAGTGTCATTGACTGAATTTAAGTGAATCAGTGTATGGAACTGTCAAATCATATTAATTGGTGCTCATAAACTGGTATGAAATTACTTGAACTGTGAGCTATTATGATGATACAGCTAGACAACTCGATTGTATACGATATGTGGAAAAAAGTTTTAACTATGGATGGAAAGAGATGTTTAGTATTTTAGCATTACAGTTTTACAAACTTGTTTAGAGTGTAGTAAGCATTGTCTGTTTCTTTAAGGTGAGAAGAAATAAAGATTTTCTATATTCCTTTCTCTGTTGCTGATAATTACCTTCTCATTCTTATTTAATTAAGCGGTACGTTTGGGTATTTCTTCAGTTATCTTAAGTTATTTATCTGTATTACTGTGGTGATCATCTAGGTTAAATACAGTGATTTAACGAAAAAAAATTCAGGTCATTGTTTTTAAAAGATAAACAAATAAGGAGACTGTGGTGTCTCTTCAACTGCTTCCACTATTCCTGGTAGTTTTTTTCTTGCGTAATGTATTTCTAGACGTATACATATATATTCTTTAGGTTTTTTCTTCCTCTTCATTTTCTATAGTCATTTTCTTCCCTGAAAATTCTAAGTTGACATGAATTCATATTGCTTACTCTAAATTTTACAGGCTGTTTCCGTGTTTTGTTATTTTTTAAGTTGTGTAATGGAGAGAATTGTGTCGATCTCACTCACAATGTCTAGCTTACATTTGCATCAGTATTTCATTTTTAATCGAAAAATTATCTTAATAAAGTGAATGTTTAGTTTCGTGTGAACTGAATAAATTCTTAAGCATTACACAATAATTGTGTCTTATTGACAAGTATATGAATAGACGTGATTGTTGAATAACATTATCATGTTTGTGTGTGTCTATCAAGATAAATTTATGCAATTCTGGAATGTGATTGGCAAAACATGACAATTGAAATAATAAAACCTTCAATTATTCACTTACTGGTGTTTCAAAAGCGTTATCTGTTGATTTTGAACAGCTAGACGGTCTAATAAATACGTTGCTGAATTACTGGGTCAGTCGTACTGAGGTCATTTATGTTATCCTTAGCCTTGGCGTGATTTCATATTTTCAATTAATGAGTAAATGTACTGAGGAGCAGTTTGAACTGGCATACTTTACAACTCCTATACATAGCTGCTGTAAGAAGAAGGTTTAAACAGGTTAAAGTTTCAGTAATTTCCAAATTCTCATTTACGCATTTAGAAAACATAACAGATTGAGCGAAGAAATATATTCCTTTTCATTTAGAGCCGATGATGAGGAACTAATTGAAACTGTCGTCAAGATTTGACCGAATAGTTCTAAAATATTTGGGCGCCGAGTGAGAAGTAGACATTTGTAAAAAATTATATTTGTAATATCTCAGAGATAGTGATTGGTTAACAAATATAAACTCTCTCTCTCTTTCCCTATATAGATAGTAGTCTGCTGAGATTATGATAATATTATCGTTAAATTGAACTGATTGAAGTAAACTGACGAGGTCAGTACATCCAAAGCTGATAGGAGGGGCCACTAGTAGGATGGACAAAAAATGTGTTACAGGTTCACAAATTCAAATTTTCCGTTTATAAGTTATACGGTGGTGAAATTTCTCCACATTTTCCATTGGAAACCTAGATCATCATTTATGATCTTCATGACACCACAGATGTCAGTTAGGACAATAAAGTAGAATGTTGATATATGATTATGACGCATATGAGTAGTTGGAATCTACTCATGTTAACCAGTACTTCTAATTAACCAGACCGAAGTCATCTTAACACCAGACGAACATTTCACTCTTTAGAGGACTACGTTCTTTAGAAGTCTATCCGTTTATATGTATACGGACAAACTAACGAGACAGCAAGACTTAGAATGCATAAATGCTTACCACGTGTATGATTTGAGAACTAATATTCAAGAAGATTAATACCTATCTAGATATCTCAAATAGTTCAGCAAAGTGACTCTTTCCAGCGATTCCACTCACTTAACTGTGCAGTTACAATTATCTGGATTTGTATGTATATTCAGTTTGTCAAGGATAGTAACTTATTTACGTAACCGTGTGCTTTAAGGATATATGCATCCGACACATACTAACTCAGAAGCTATCGTCTCTATGATTTCTTCGTAATTTTTTCACCGTATTCATACACTTTCTTTATAAAAAACACTATTGTCATGATATTAAAATTAGCCGATTATAAAGAATATCCGAGCAACTATACAAGAAATTGAACAAAATTTGTACACATAATACCAATACTACCAGACTAGTCATTTATTGGTACGTATAAGAACTAGAAAAGTTTTTCTGCTGCAATGTTAACATCAATCATAAATATCTTAACTTCGTCAACTCTAGTGAATAGGAAATATTTTCGGTTGAAAATACCCGGTGTGCTTCCTTACTGTTTAAATACATAGATCTTCAGGTAGATTGGAATTTACTTATAATCGTCCTCATGTACTTGGATTATCTGTCTTATAGTAAAAAAACAATACAGTAGCTTTAATATCCTTGGCAGTTAGTAGGTGTGCAAATTACTACCTTTGAGTTATGTTACTGATGTATGATTTTTATACAACCTTAAGAAAATTTAATTTTCTCTAGAGTTTTGTAATCTATGCCACTGAGAAACATACCTTAACAACTCTGAGTCTTTTAGAACTAAAAAGTATGCATGTATTCACCACTAGATAATAAATTTTGTACTTGAGGAGTCTTTAGTACTAATTAAAGTATACCAGTCAGGTTTGCATGCTGTCTGAATTACATAAAACTACTTTTTTGTGCTCTTTAATTTGGCATTAGTAGCTAGAAGCTCACTGCTGTAGATTTTTCTAATGCGGTGAGTTAGTGGGATGATGAGAGGTCGTTTTTGGCTCAAAAGCATCCAACTATAGAAGTTTGTTAATTGGTCGTTCCGCTGCAGCAGTGATTGCTTGCCAGAGTAGCTCCTATTCCTCAAAAATATACTGGCTCAAAATGGCTACCCGACACGTTTTGTCGACAAGATCATGAAACCAGGACCAAAAAGAGAAGAATGCAGTTCAGCGCCGAAGAAAACTCTGTATATGAATCTGCACTTCAAGAGAGATTTGGCAGCTGATATCCTAGAGAGAAGAAATCCAGCTCTTTAAAGAAGACCTTCCCTGCAGCAACACTAAGAGTGACATTCTCTAGCCGCCCAATACTTCGAAACGATGCGAAGGACAAACTCTCACATATGACCAATTCAATGTGCGTATACCAGTTCATCTGCTCATGCGGAGCTAGATACATAGGTCGTTGTATGCACGTCCTTTCGAAACGTGTTAGAGAACATTACCCAGCATGGCTGCAAAGTGGATGCACCAGTTCAATCAGAAGTGTCACAATTGAACATCTGATCAACACCTCCCACAACATCTCAGCTGATTCATCCAAAGTCATTTACAAAGTAAACAGAAACCTACCAAAGGCAGCATGTTTCAGACTTCTTTGTAATGCAGAAGCTTTCGCAAAATACATCGAAAAGCCGGATCTGTGTGCTCAAACGAAACTAGTCCAACCTTTACAACTACCATGGACCTAGTTCGGTATGTTCCCTTAGCTTCCGTTTCTTTTTTCTTTCGTTCTTTTATCTTTTTTTTGGTTCACTGTGTGTGCGATCATTGCTCTCTCTGTCTTCATTCAATTCATTCCATTTTTTTCAGTTATAAGAACAGTTATCTTAGGTTTTTTTTCCATGCTTTACCTACTCACATTTATAATTCGTTTAAAATAACTATTTTACAATTATGTCCTAGTCCTGTGCAATTTTTGTTTCTCAGGCTCTTGTAATCTATATTCACACCTCCTAACTTCCATTTCAAGTTGAAAAGTATTATTTTAATTTGTTTCCATGCTCATTTTTTACACACTTGTAATTCATTCTAATCATATCTGATTTTGTTTCTAAGCCTCTCGTAAACCATATCCAGTTGAAAATAATTGTCACCTTTTTTTCGCCTTCGTAATTATGTGGAATCAAGTAAAAATTGCAGCAATGTAAAATTATGTATTTAAATGCGATTGTACAGCTGCTTTTGAAAATGAAATCGCCGAAAAGATATCTTTTCTGAACTTCGTGTTCTCTTCTTTCGCGGCATTGTGTTTGCACAACTGCATATAAAGAAGCTGTAATACTAATTGTCTAAATGTTTAATGAAACCAAAGTCAAATTTTCGAGTAATATAGATGTTACTATCTATCACCATTATTACGGTTTTAAACATGCTCTAATACATCATTTTTAATTATTTCTGTGATAAAAATCATTAAATTTAGTCTTGTTACTGGTATTGGTGAATTCGACACGTACTTTGGCCAATCACGATCACATATTCCAGATTCAACAGGGAGATTAACTTCATTACTAGATTATCCATATTTATTACTCGATGTAAGAGATAGAGATGAGTACGATGCATGCCATATTATAACAGGTATGTTTTATTTTTAAATTTCCCGAATTCTTTCATTATAGAATAATTTGATGAAGTACACAGTATTAGAGTACTACTTATTTACTGATGACGTTTCAAGCACGATTCACTGCTCATTATCACCTCATATTCTAACGTCAGAAGGCAAGAGTCAGGCAACAGATCATTTATTAAGGAAATTAACGCATATTTATATATATTTCATGTACATTACTATGGATATTTAAACAAACAAACACAGTCTTCCGATTGGTTGTTTCTCACGTAAAGTTAATCTTTCATCTATTTGTGACTGTTTCTTGAATGTCAAATCATCTATATGTTAACTGCATCCGCCTACGCACAGTCTGCTGTGGTCGGTTTTGAATCAATCTTTGTTCACATTTTCTCACGACAAATCTTGGGAACGAAAATATTGACGTAAATTACTGTCTACCAATTTGGCTAGCAGCCATCTCTCACCATGCTCGTCCCCCCGTCAAATAGCTTCGCGCGCAGGCGTTCCGACCTTCTGGGTGATGCATCCTCTCGTTGATGATTGTTACAGACTGGCTTGTCCCAATGCACCCATCGTTGGATCTGACTGGCGTTAACTCGTTTTTGTTTGTCACCTCTTCTGATGGTATATACTTGACCTCGTCATTTTGTGATTGTGTATGGTCCTTCCCACTTTGGAAGGAGTTTTCGTGAACCTGGCCCACATCCAACTGCATATCTTCTGTCTCTACACTTCACTTGGTCCCCGACTGAGAAGGTAGTGCACTGAGTCTTTTCCCTCAGCTGAGACTTCGCGACATCCCTCCGCTGCTTCTGCATTACATTCTTGACGGCTTCTTTCCGTTCTGCTTTTAATTTCGTCCTACTCCGCTTTTGGTGAAGGGGCCAGGTTTCGTTGTGTATCGGTAGTCGTGGTTTTTTACCATACATCAGTTGAAAGGGTGACTTTTTCGTTGTTTCCTGGGTGGTGGCACGATGTGTTAGTAGAATCAGTGGCAGCTCCGTTTCCCAGTTACCGCCCTTCGAGGCCAGCCACTCCCTCAGCGTACGATTGTTTCTCTCCGTCAGGCCATTCGTTTGTGGATGGTATGGGGTCGTTCGGATCCTCTTGGTGCCAAGCTGTTGCAAACGGGAAGTAAATTTTTCACTTTCGAAACACGGACCTTGGTCTGTCAGTATTGTCTTTGGTACGCTGTGGTCTGCGACGATGTGTCTAACTACCGCATCTGTCACGGTCCTTGTGCGTTGGTCTGGGATTGCTACGGCGTCTAACCATCGTGTCGCGTGTTCCGTCATCACCAAGAGGTACTGATTACCATTGGATGTCTGAGGAAATGGACCCATGACATCTATGGACCACAAGTGACCTATCACCGTAACTGGAATCGACTGAAGTAGTGGTCGTATGCACCGGTCGCCTTTCATTAGCTGGCACCGTGGACATCCAAGTACATATCTTGCTACGTCTTCTCTCATACCTGGCCAGTACATACTTTGTCTCAAGAGGTCGGTTGTTCTGGCCACTCCGGTATGTGCTAGCTGGTGGCATTCATCTATCATGTCGTGGCGCGACGATTGAGGTATGACAGCTAGCCAGCTTCCGTCGTCCTCTCGCCAGGTCAGAGTCCCGTAGACGTTCACTCTTAGTCGATGTCTCTGTCTGAGTAGTGTGGTTAGCTCCTTACTCGCTGTAGCTGGATCCACTTCTATTCCGTTAGTGATCACCTGTATTACTGTATTCAGCGTATCGTCCAACCTTTGTCTGTGTGCCAGTCTTAGTGGGTCTTGTTCTACTGCATGCACTCCGTAAGCGACCTCGGACAACTCAGACTCGTCTTCTGGTTTCGATAACAAATCTGCCAAGACATTTTCATTTCCAGGAACGTGTGAGATGGCAAAATCGTACTCCTGAAGACGCAACATCCACCGTGACAATTTCCCTCGTGGGTCTCTCGCTGTCTTCAGAAACTGTAGTGGCTTATGATCCGTTTCGATGTGGAACCGCCGGCCCAGTAAATAAGGTCTCCATTTGTCGATTGCCCATACCATCGCTAAACATTCTTTCTCTATCGTTGAATACTTTCGCTCTGTGTGTGTCAAAACCCGACTGGCATACTCAACGATTCCCTCACCCTGTCTTAGGACTGCACCTATGGCGTAGTCACTGGCATCTGTGCACACTGTGAACTGTCTGCCAGGTACAGGTAGTTTTAATGTCATTTGTTGGTGGTCGAGCAGCTGTTTAATCCTGTTGAATGTCTTCTGCGATTCCTCCGACCAAACAAACTTCGGCTCACCTAGTAGCCTGTACGGAGGGGCTGCTATCTCATTGAAGTTCTTCACGAAGCGACTATAAAACGCTGCTCTACCTAAGAATTGTCTCAATTTTCTCTTTGAATTCGGGGCCGGGATCGTCTTTATCGTCAAGATTTTCTCCGGTAGTGGTTTAATCTCACTATTTCCCACTTTATGTCCCAAAAGAGTTACATTCTTTTTGGCTATCTGAGACTTGGTTTTGTTGACGCGCAGTCCAAACTCTTCGATGCGTCGCAGCACGGCTTCCACATGGTTCACATGATCGTTTTCGTTTTGACTATATATGACGAGATCATCACCGTACACCTCGACGTTTTTCAAGTTCTTAAGTAATAGCGTCATCAGTCGTCTGAACGTGAACGGTGCACCTGCTAGTCCAAACGGCATGCGTTTAAATCGACATTGTGTCTGACCCACGATGAATGCCATCTTATCTCTATCACCTGGCTTTATCGGTATCTGCCAGTATCCTGAGCGAAGATCGAGAACTGAAAACAAATTTGCGCCTTGTAGGCGATCTAATGTTTCTACTACTGTTGGCATGGCACACGGTCTTAACTCTGTCATACTGTTTAACTGCCGAAAATCAACGCAGAATCTATACTTCCCATTCGCCTTTTTTACTAACAGCACTGGAGAGTTGTACGGGCTATCAGCTTCTTCAATAATATCATCTTTTAAAATCTCTCGCACCTGTCGCTCAACTTTGCCTTCTAAATGACATGGAACTCTTCGCGTGGTAAATGACGTTACTTTCGGGCCACTTAACGGAATTTCATGATTCACCTTATCGCAATAACCGTATGGGTCCCCATCTCCAGTAAACAGATGATCGTATTTGCTGAGTAACTTTGCGATACTTCGGACTTCCGATGCCGCAATCCCTGCTACCTCACTATTCTCGTGCATGCTAAAACACCCATACTTCGTAACGACAACCCTTTTCTTCATGTTAATCACTGCATCCACTTCTCGCAAAAAGTCGGCCTCAAGGATTGTTTTGCGCAATTCAGGTACAACCAGGAATGGGAACGTCACGCAATCCTCTCCAATTCTAACCCTGCAGTTTGAAACTCCCGCGATTCTTAACACGTGACCGCCTACTGTCTGCACTGTCAACGAACATGGTCTTATAGTCTCACATAGACTCCTATCTACGAGTGAGACTGCAGCCCCTGTGTCGATTAAACACACCAACTCGCGATCATTTACCCGTAACTTCGAATATATTGCCCCCTTCTCCATTGCCCCTATTACCTCAAGTCTCGGAACACAAGAAGAAGACACAGTATATCTTTTAAAAATTCTTCTCTGTCGTCTTTCCGGGCAGCGGTCTCTCCAGTGCCCCAGTTTGCCACATGCGAAACACCGGTCTCTCCGCACGCTCAGTCTCAGCGCGGCCACTTCACGTTGCAACTCTTCGATTTGTTTCTCACACTGCTCGGATTTTGGTGGCTCTACCGCTGCAACCGTCTTACTCAACAGTTGTCTGGTCACCTTCGCAAGCTCCCCGATGTCCAGTGGCTGTACGGTGTTAACCAGATGTAGCTGTTGGGATATATGTTCTGGGACACTCTCCACAAACTGGGATGCCAACATTTGTGCCTCAGAATCTTCGTCCAGTGTTTGTAGAGCGCGACGAAGTAGGCCTGTCAAGGTCAGCGCCAATACGAGAGGGTCACCGTCAAATCCCAGCTTCATGGTGCGAAACTGCTGCATTGCCCGCTTTCTGTCCATCGGGCTGTCAAACTCCTGCTTCAAGCGTTCAACCACTGACTTCCAAGTTGCTTGCCCCTCTGTTCGCCTCACACTATCATATGCTGCCTTCGCCCGGCCTCTCAGTAGCGTTCCAAGGACAACCGTCTTCGCTGATGGCTCTTGCACGCCATTCAACTCTGCAATAGCTTCGAAGTCCCTTAAGAAGATCGATATGTCTCCTTCTTCAAAAGCTGCAGGCCATGGGACTTTCATTTCGCGACAGGCAGCGACACCAATTGTAACGTCAGAAGGCAAGAGTCAGGCAACAGATCATTTATTAAGGAAATTAACGCATATTTATATATATTTCGTGTACATTACTATGGATATTTAAACAAACAAACACAGTCTTCCGATTGGTTGTTTCTCACGTAAAGTTAATCTTTCATCTATTTGTGACTGTTTCTTGAATGTCAAATCATCTATATGTTAACTGCATCCGCCTACGCACAGTCTGCTGTGGTCGGTTTTGAATCAATCTTTGTTCACATTTTCTCACGACAAATCTTGGGAACGAAAATATTGACGTAAATTACTGTCTACCAATTTGGCTAGTAGACAGCTCTCACCACAATATCACCTTGATAAATAAATTATGCTTAAAATATGATCAGTCTATAATATTGTTTCACTGTATCCTTTTTTATGGACATCTACTCTTCCCAGAGATCGTGGAAACAATTTCTCTGGTGAAGAAGTAGAACTGAATTAATGAACTAGGTATAAATTGCACTCAGATGTACATATGCAAAATACTTATACACAGTAAACTTCAAATCGCACCCATCTTGTTAAGCAAGCAGGAAGAATCCAGTATGAAATCGAAAAGAAAACTGTTTCACGTTCATATTATCTACGTAACAGCTGATTTGCATTTTGTGTACAAATTTTCATTTTGATTCTTTTCTTTGTTCTGTCTAAAGAGAATTCCTGTATTAATTTGAGTCTGTCATCATCGGAACACCTATTTATGTGCAGATAGTTGAATGATTGCAATGAAATTTGCTAAAAAAGTATTCTATGTTAAAGAAAAGACCAATTTTTCAGGGACATTATGGATTTTTTATCGAATTATCTTGTACGAATAAAGCGGTGAATAGTGTTTATTTTACATCGAATTAGTTAGTAAAATGTTTACTCTTTCTAAATATTCTGAAGAAAAAACGACTAATGTTCTTATTAGGATATATTCGTTGTTGCTGTCCTTGTTCAGTGCTTTAATATATCGTCTATCTTCTTTTCTCCCTCATTATTATTATTATTATAAAGCTCGTAATTATCCTATTGCAATGTTATCACGTAGTGTAAATTTCGAAACTACCGAAATGTTGGCGTATCGTAATCGATCAGATCATATTATTATTATATATGATGAAGATGAACGCTTAGCACCGCGAGCTGCAACCACATTAGTACAACGAGGATATTGTAACTTATTCATGTTGTCTGGTGGATTAAAGGTCAGTTATAAATAGCTAATTAAATATAAGCTAGTTATTTCTATGAAGTTACACATACTCCACTATTTCCTGGTTTTTATTTATGAATGTTCAATGAGTTTGTTTTTCTGGTTAATACTGCCATGAGTAGAGAAAGAGATGCAAAAAACTACAATAAATGGGAAAGTGTGGGAGGAAGAATGACTGTGTGTAGAATAATGTGATCTTGACGAATCTGGAAGAACATATGGTGTGAATCTGCCATCAACATTAATTTTGAGCCATGTCACCAACAATCTGCAGTCATTGATTATTCGCGTCTCTAGGATCCCGGTTAAGTGTTGTACACTTCCCTATCTGGCTTAAACCAACAATCAAAGAACTTATCGATGTTTTGTTCCGAACACCCATAACTCTTTTTATGTATGAACTAACATTGCTTGTCAAGAAAGGTGATATATATGTATACGATCCATGATGCCATAGCTAGAGAAATATGCATAGATCAGGAGGTATTTTAGTACTTGATGGTTGTATCTAGCGTTCCGCAATCATTCGATTTTATGCTGCACATTTCTTGTTTTCTTTATTCCCTTGCACATTTTGTTCTTACCAAATTCTTAATATTTCATCAGTATACGTCTTTTATTCCCTTCTTTAGTTTTTGCTTAAATTTCACCTCCTGAGTTATTAGCGTTTTATTCATTCATTATTTTCAACTCGGTTGCGACAGAAACCCAGAACCTTCAGGGTGTCAGATGAAAACTTTTGAAGTCAAATGACTCGCTAATTTTGACTTTATCAATTCGCGATATATCGCTACTTCCATCAAATGTTGTCGTAACGTGAAACTTACAGGTCTGGTCCCCAGTTGACGAGTATCTGCGTACTGCCAGGTTGGAACATACATTGAGGGCTGCTTGATTTTCCAATGTCAATATCTGTATGAAATCAACCTTGAAATCAGTCAAATCCTCATAGACTGAACACCTTGATAAGCATACCTAATTTATCTATTTAACCTAAACTTTGAAGTTAACAATTTCCTATGAGATTTAGATCAATAGACGAAATTACAGCAGATTTGAGCTTCGCCTTCATTTCACTATTAATGACTAAATAAGTAGTTCTCTCTGGTAGATCTGGTAAAAGATTGAAATAATTTCTCAAAATCCCATTGGTGAATGCCTAACAAGTAATTAGTATTATGCTATCCAACGGTAAGTTTACATTGTGGTCATTAGGGCTAAACATTTTGTATTGTGCTGTTGCAGTTCCGTTTCAGTATGAATATCTAAATGAAATGGCTTATGATCTCTGAAAGGTAGTATCTTTCTAATCTTAGATAAAGCGCAAATCGATTTCTATCACTCATTCCGACATGAATGTCAAATAAAAGTTTGTTTTTGAAATACGGTGATATCATTTTCTATTCTTTCTTCCTGACAGCTTCCTTTTCTTCCTTTCATTATCATTCTTATTGTTTATTTAGGTGGCATGGAAGTTATTCCCAGAAGGTTTAATAATTGGAACAATACCATTGTCTATTTCATGTACACTGAAATCACGTGGGAAAAGTCGATTGTATAGGCCGCCAACATGTCAAAATTCACTGTCTAGTTCTATGAATAAAGAGTCATGTATTCATCATAATTCATCAGATATATCTTTACCAAAACTTCAACGAAGTACCACACCGTTAATTTATTGTGCTATAGGGACAAGAGATAATGTTGAAGGTGATGAGGAATTTCTACCTGAAGATCTTGTTCGGTTAACTTTACAATTAGAAAAAGGTGTTGATGATGGTAGGTGAAAAAAGAGAAGATTGTGTTGAAGTGTGTATAGTTGCTTTTTTCCTAATTATTCTTCTAATAACTTCATGATGAAGAAAACTTGTTCCAACGTGAATTGAAGATTGATCTTGATTTTTAATAATATTAATAATAGTTTTATTCTAAATAACATCTTTATATAAAGTATAGAATTTTCAGATTATTTTTGTCTACTCCTCATACAGAATTTTCAAGTAAAAGAGTAACAGTATATCAATAAACAGAATCCTGTTCTATCTGAAACATGTTGCGATCCTTGATGTTTTTGGGCCTTCACAACAGACTTAGACCTATCGATTTGTTGAAAGCCATTCAAAAATTCACATGATTACAGATTCTCCCTAAAGGCAGTAAGAAGACAGCTAAAACAAAAGTATAACTGGGTAAATTTGACACATTTTGCTCAGTAGAAAATTAGGTAGCTCAAAGGACTTAAAAAAACTTCCTTGGTTCTTGTGAAAGGAACTAAAGTGTAGTCAAACGCTACGACTTAATAACCACGTAATGCTCTTTGATGATTAGCTTTCAGTAAAAAGAAGAAAACTACCGTTAGTGGGATAAATCAAAGCACATTTGAGGACAGAATTTATGCACCGATAACATTTGATAATTGCGTCAGTTTATTAAACATTGACATTTGAAAAAAGTATGTCACTCAATGAATCTCATTAATAACCTTGCTAGATTTGGTCCTATATATCATTGTGCGTATTATCTTGCTAAAGAGTGACAAATAATCCATAAATCATTGCTTTTTAGTTATCAGGCATCCACCACCAATTGATGTCGATCCAGAACGAAACTAACATTCTAAAGACTGATAAGAGTACACTGATAAATGTATAAGATTACATAATACAGATGAAATATTCTATGACTCCTCGCATTACATCATAATAAGACCCATATCATTTAGTTCATAATTATTGTGAAGGTATATTGACGAGTGTAAAGTTTTCACTTAGCTCTTAAAAATATCATCTGTTCATCATACTATTATTATTATTATCATTATTGCCATCGATTACGAGTTGAACACAGCTCTTCAACAGCATATCTGCATTTCATCCTGCTACCTGCATTCGTCTCCAGCTAGCTCCACGGTTGCCCATATGCGCTCTTATCTCCACACGATCTCCTTCATGTCAACTTCAAGGCGACGCCCAACTCGTCGTTTCCCATTCAGGTTCCACTCAAGGACCTAGCGCACAATTCCACTCAACGGTCTTCTCAGTGCGTGCGTGTTCAGTCCATCCCTATTTTCTACAGTATATTTGTTGAGTAACAGTTCCTTGGTTGGTTGGTGCATTCCTAGAGTTCCTTATGGCTGATCCTTCCCGACCGGGTATCTGACCTTCAGTATAAATCGAAGGAAGCTGCTGATGAAAGTTTTCAGCGGCCTGTTCGAAATGTGTTCGATGGTGAGCATGCCAAGTCTCTGAACGCCATGGAACCGGTGATTGACATGACATTAGTTTAGTGTTGAAAATCCGTATCTTGTACATTATGCTTAGTGGAATGGATTTACACACTGATTTCAGTGTAATGAACGAGTGTCTTGCTTTTCCGATGCCAGCTGACTGTGACATCCTCATCTGTGCCGCCTGTAGTTGAGATGATGCTGCCTAAATAGGTGAGAGGAGTAACTTTCCCCGAAATTCTCCGGTTGATAGTGATCGGTGCTTGTTGTTGCTGGTCATGTATCTTCATCTACTAAAATAATCAACTAAATTTATTTCCGCTGGTTAATGGAGTGATAGATTTAGTATTGATGTTTTTACGGGTTGATCACGGATTGATATCAGTTAGAGAATGATTGAAAGCCAGGTCATACTGAACAGCTGTTTCATCCTAGTTTGGGAATCATTGGCAGTTCGCACCCACTGAATGGTATGCGAGCTTGCCTTGTAACCGGAAGGTCTTGATTTCCAACACCAGTGGGTGCGTACTGTCGATGATTCCCAAACTAGGATGAAACAGTTGTCCAGTACTCCCTTTTTTTCGATCATTCTCTGACTGATATCAATCCGCGATCAACTTGTAAAAACAAAACGAATCTTTACAAACCAACCATAGAAAATAAGTATTGTTGTGCTTAGTTGTATGTTATTGGACAAGTCGACCGAACTGTTGGATAAGGTTATTGGTTTGCATTGATCTGAACCATCGTCTTTGCAGAAAACCAATATCAGTTTATGCAAAATTTTTTTGCGTGAATGATAGGAATGGTAGGACGAGTAAGTCGTCCGATTTCTCGTAAGGTGTGTGAGTTGCTCGGTTAAGTTTTCACTTCTTTACAGATATAAACAGTGTTTACTATCTTTGAGAATGTAATTATTTTCACTCGTGTTCATTTAACTAATATTTTCCTAGTATTCGTCGTATGCCTTTCATTGGTCCGTGATACAATTCAGCTTTCTTCAATGAATCGCTTGTCCATAAATTTGAACCCTTAAATTTTACTGTATCTTATCAGGTCAGATGTGCGTCAGTGGTACAGGGGTGGAATGCTCGCCAACCACCCAGGTGGCCTGGGATTCGATCTTCGGCTGACGCACTGCTTAACCTCGCTTAGCTAGTAATAAGGCTGGTAAAGAGGGAAGGTTGGGCATGAGGCTAGAGACCCATCCCGTAAAAATAAATACCACTGCTCCTGAAACTTCAAAGCTCTAGCTTGAAGCCTTATGTTCCACTAGGAACGTAAAAGGATAACAAAATCAGATCAGCTAAGTAATTACATGGGGTTGATTGTATCTCCAGTAATGATTAAATCTTACTTAGAAAATACAGACGTATTCAGACAGTAGAAGTGCGGCATTCAAGATGATATTTGAATATAGACATATGCTAGTGGTTTCACTGAAATGTGCAGAATAATTTTGAAATCTACTTGGCACATTTATTATCAATTGAATGTTATATGTACTAGAAAAAGTAGAATATACTGACTAATTTCATCGTATGCGTAGAATAATAAGACTGGTCACTCATTTGGTTACCTCTACATGTGATTGTTTGTGCACATGGATGAAGATTCCCAAACTTGTGAAAAACAGGCGCCGATTACTTCTCAATTTCACTAGATCCCCATCTGAATTATGATCAAATTTACGTAAAAACGATCAAACAGTTTTCTATGAATCTGGTTAATGAAGAGTAATATTCAACAGATTATTGATGTAGTATCTGTCTTTGAAATGAACAAGTTTTGCAGTTTAGAGTTCTTCTGTATTTTCACAAACAAGTGTTTCATATTTTGAATGTATTTACTTCTTTCAAGCTGAATCCAACTTGTTATGTTTCAAGTGGTTATGGCTACAATCAACTTTTATACTATTACTTTGTTTATAGGTATATGTATGTAGTTATATGTACTTTCTAGTTTTGTGCTGCACATCATTCATCATATGCTTGTATTAATGAATAGAATGGAATTTTCCTTCAAAAGAAGATATTCTATATTATATCACATCTTCCATAGAGTCCACAAAGCTATAGGATTTCATCTCATAAACGTATTATTATTAATAATGAACAGTTTTTACAGTCACTCGATAACTTGTTTTGGTCTTAATTTTCGACTCCACTGTTATGTGCTTACCCATTACTGGGCGATTACAAGTGCAAGACAGTGAAATTAATGAGGGAAACTTTCTTCTAACTGCTCGCTCATTTAAGATACTATGACTGTCTTGAATAATTGTTGTTAAAGAGGAGTGTTATTGATGTAATGGATGATGATTTAAGGTTAAGCGAAAATATGAGTTTCGGCACAGGACTGAAACCGACTGCCTCCCAACTATTATTGCGTCTGTCTACCATCTAGGTTGAGAGATACAACCCAACTGTTGTCAGTGAATGACACACTGCTGTCTGTTTATCAGATACTAGCTTCCCATCTAAGTCCTCTTTTGTCAATCCTAATCATGCTGAATCAGTTAGATACGAGCAGGTTTTGAACTGATAATTATATATATATATATATATATACATATAGCACATTATATTATTTAAGCTTTCCTGTGCACATGACTCACAAAAATGAAGAGGAATAATTTCTATTGCAGAAAAGAGGTGTGCGTCGGTGGCACAGTGGTTAGGACTCTCGCCGACCATGCACATAGTCCGAGGTTCGATCCCCTGCCGACGCACACCCGATATCTATGGTCGGCCTGCAAAATTTGGGCTACCGATATCCATGCTGAAAATCCCATACTTGTACTGAAAATACGGTGTGGCATCAAGCTGTAATCAAAAATAAAATAAATAAAATAAAACATTTTACTAATATGCGTCTGAACGACACATTGTGTTATAAAGAAGGATGGTAAAGTAATAATTTTCATACAAGTTCCTTAAAATATGAAATAATGCCAAGCGAATATGAGGTGAAGACAACTTGTGAAGGAAAACGTAGTGTTCATGTAGAAAAAAATCACAAACCTTATATTTATTTCACAGCTTACAAACAATGGAAAGCGCCCAAATTGTACTCTTACATTAATAATAATAATATCTTCCTCGTCTATTTGTTATGAAAGTTATCGAGTGATGTTAATGCCTACCCTCCGAATATACCAGTTTAAATGATACAAGTAAAAGTGGAGCATTTTTGATGCAATACGCTACATATACTATCATAAAACCACGGAGGTGTAATTTCTTATGCCTAACTCTGAAGCCTGCTGTCTGGATATGACTACCAAAGAAAATTTACTGCCATAGGCTAGCAAGACTGGTCCATTAAAAACTGGTGAATTAAGGGGAATGCTTTACCATCACTTGATTCTTCTCAGTGTTTTCATCCTTTTCATTCATTTTTTTACTTACTTATTGACACAAATTATTGCTGCTTGTGTGACTAATACCTTACTCGAAGTACTACTTATATCTTTGTATAAATATCACACATGATAAATATACGCTTTCGACTTCCATGACTTCACCTTCATTGGTCGTACTAATAAATTCAGCTGAATCATGCACAAAGTTGACTTTTTTATGTATTTCGCCGTCAAAAGTAATTCGATTATTTTATTGCACTCCTTTAATGTACTATTTGTTTCAACCGTCTAGTTGAATTTTTAATGATATCATTTACTTGTTCAATAAACTGTTTATGTATTCATTTCTTTGGTTTAGGACGTTCTGTCAGATCAAATTATGCACGTAGTACTGTATCATCGATGCGTTACTCAGCCTCTGGTGATCGGAAACCATTTCGTTAAAGAATATTAACAAGAATGGATTGATTGAATAAGTGTCTATAAAAAGATATCAAGTAGTAGTGAAGTATGTTTGCTTGGGAGTAGAAGTTTTACTAGAACTTCTATGTGTGAATGTGAGTATATATTCATCAATATGTCAGTGTGTGAAGGTAACTCACTCTTGTGTACTTTCATGTTATCGTAACTTGTTATGTGTGATAGTTTCATAACGATTATAATTAATATCATCATTATCGCAATATATACATAATTTAACTATTTCATCCATTCAGTTACACATGTGATTGAATAACACATTTATGAAAATATACATGTACTGTATATTTAGTATGGAAACATCTTTCTTCTTGCCATCATCCTCTGCTTTCTTGTGTTATTTCTTATTCCCAGTACTCTTGTATGCTCCCTTCTCACTTTGTCTGATATATTCTTTTGAATACATTTTTTGTTACTCAGCTTAATATTTTCTGCTCATTTACTTGTTTTTCCAGTTTCCCCTAACATGTCAATTATTTGAGTTTTTCTTCCTTTATTCATTCAATCTATTCTCTTTCCCTTTTTAAATTAATGAATATAATATATAATCATATATATTTTCTGAGTAAATTATAAAATTGGATACAATTGCTTAATGCAGTTAAACAGAACACAGGAAGTTGGAACTGATAAAGGAGAAAGATAAAGATACTTGTAATAAAAACAATCATAAAGGTAAAAATGGACTTTCCTCATAGTTTCAAAGGTTTTGTTTCATCAAAGGTTTATTATAGATAGTCATATTGGATAAGCTTATGTAACCTTGGTGAATGGTGAAGAGGGAAAACACTGAGACTAACTTATATTGTCAACCTAGCAAATAGGCCTATTACGGTATTAACATATTCCATTTATTTTAATATCAAATCAGTAATTCCATACGCTTTCCTACAGTTATTTGCGCAAAGGTAAATTCATAAGTACTACCAGCACTCATCTCCAGCTAGCTCCACGGTTGCCCATTTGTGCTCTTATCCTCACACGATCTCCTTCATGTCAACTTCAAGGCGACGCCCAACTCGTCGTTTCCCATTCAGGTTCCACTCAAGGACCTAGCGCACAATTCCACTCAACGGTCTCCTCAGTGGACTGGATTTCATTCCAGTGGCTAAATAGTCTACGAGCACACTTCATGACCTGAAGGTCTTGGGTTCAATCCCCCACAGGGGCATTTTTGCGTGCGTGGTCAAAACTTGAAATCAATCAAAACTCTACAAGCCAACATTTGAAAATTAACACACTCTGGGATCTATGATGAGTGAGTTTGAAAAACTCGTTTATATGCAGTACATTGAATATTGTTAAAATAAACCACTTGAGAACTTCAGATTCTTCACCTATCTTATTGTTTATCACTTAAAATAAAACAGTAGTCATATATATACATCCTGATTGGTTATCACAATGGCTGATTACCACTGTCACATGTTATTTTTTATCTCCAATCAACAAACAAAATTGTAAAAGAAAATCAGCTATAGAAAGCATTTTATGTTTAACAATGGGAAAAGAATTCACTTGACTTATGTCGTGTAAGTGATTAAATTAATTGAAAATCAAATATTTCTATTGTTTATTAAGTTATTTGGTGTAAACTGTTTGACATTTTCCAATGAGAATTAGAAATAAAGTAAAAACAACTACAATTGGATCAGATTAAGTTTGTATCAGTTTATTTAATTTGTTTCTTCTCAGTCAAATGCAAACTACAATATTTTACTCATATGCCTGCAGAAATTTTTAACGTTATTAAAAAAATGACATCATGTTAGTTAACAGGAGACTCCAAAATAAACAACTGTGATCAGAAGTTACACTCATTCACCACCTCTACATAGAAGAGTCAGGTTAATAAAAATCGTGTTGATTCCCTGAAAAAGGAGTTGCATTCGAAAGACAAAAGATATATGAGTGATAAATGACCAGTAAATTGGATGATAATTTGCTGAGTTCAACTAATAGAAAGACGTTTACTAGGGCAAAGGCAGATGGATAGCTGCTTCTTTCTGTGAACGCATAAATCGGGTTCCATTCGTTTGGAATTTAAACTGCTGCTACTAATTTGTACCACAGATGTCTAACTCACATTTGTCGTAAGTTGTCGAATGCTACACTAGCCTTTTGCATTCGTGCCGAGATTCCATTAACAATCAGTCTGTTACGGTTAATGCAGCTTCCCAACTAACTGAAGTGGTCTACATGCCCAACTATTTCACTTCCTATCTTTAAACTAATAGTTGCTGTAAACCAGCTCCGCAGCATTATCTTACATCTGACAGGGGCGAATCATATGTCAAACATAGCAAGATTTCTGTAGAAGGTATTCAAAAGACTGTAATTTTCGAGAGTTTTCACCTAGAGGGGCAATGTCATCTGCATACTAATTACCTTCAATACAGATGAGAACAGCAATAAGCTCTTATATGACTGTGTGAGTTCGAGTAGAGTACCTTGAACCATGCGCTGTACCTTCTCGACTCTTCCTTCACTGACAGATGTCGCCACAACACTTATCGGTCAGCGGAGTTAAATGTCGCTTTCAGATCAAGAAATATATCTGTTATTGGACGCTGGTAAGTCTGCTGCCTACGTTGCGGATTTTGTTGAAGGGTGAATGTATGATCAACACACCCTTTTAGTGTCCCAAAGCTCTGCCCTTTCTCGTAGGTCTGTTTCTCATGAACACTGCTTAGACTACAGATAATTATTAAACCTAGAGTCCTAGATACTATGTTAATCAAGAGAAGATTTTTTCCCACTATAAACTGGAATAATCCATTATATTTACCGATCCCGCGGGAGTGTCTCAGATTTCCACACATAGTCTAATCTCTTAGTTAACGTGGTCAATAGCTAATCACTACCGTCAAGTTCAGCTACTCTACCACGTTTTAAATCAAAAACAGCTTTTGAAACTCCCATTGTAGTTGGAAGATGAATGTATACATCGCATTCAGGTAGGTGTTAGATACCGGGAAAATCCAGCATGGCTGTGGGCCAATTGAATTTCTCAAAGTATTTCCCCCAATGTTCCTGTAGTCGAAGCTGCGAGGTGACTGAATTACCGTCCTTCTCAAAAATTGTTTCGCGGATTTGTTTTGTCTGTGCCTTTCCAGCATACTTAAATAAATTTATTCTGTTCTGCATTTCATTTGTTTCATTTTCTTCTTCACTTCTACTCTCTTATTCTTTGTATTTGAGACACGAAAACTAAACTGTTCATTTTTCTATGATTTATTCGAATACCAGCTAAACTAAGTAATTGTTCATAGATTTATTCAGCTCTATGGAAGGTTATTGAAGGAATGCGTTTATCCAGAATCCGTTCTTCTTAACATTTCCTTCTTCATATTTCCGCTGAGTATTAACATCAAGAGTTTTGGATGTTCTGTTGGATTTATCATTAAGTGGAACTGAGGCTTTACATACCGAGTTTGGAGAACGTAAAAACTACCACTTGTGTCGAATATTTGGGCTTTACAGTCATCAGACTAATGATCTCCCGATTAAGATGAACTATCCATCAGTTTGGTTTTATTTAATCAAATGATTATCATCCAGTTTGTGAAATGAATACGCAACAAAATGACAGGTTTTTTCACTTTTATCTTTTCTGTGAATAATGTACGGTTAAGTCCTAGTTGCCTGTCCATTGTGTTTTACTCGAAGGATAAGCACCATTTAGACGAATAATTTTTGTCCAATTCGATATATGAGTCTTCATGATATTAATAATTTGACATATACTCAATATTCAAAATCAGATGGCCAGAAAAGATCAGCAACTCAACAGGAACCGATTGTGCAACAAATATGCAGGAAGAAATGGAGGTAGATTGGCCATACTCTTAGAAAACCATCAAGTGATATCACTAGACAGGTCTTCGAGTGGAACCCGAATGAAAAGCGGCGAGTTGGTCGACAAAGGGTGACTTGGAGGAGGTCATGTGAAGAGGAGATGAAAGCATGCGGGCAGACGTGGAGCCAGATGAAAACGCTGACAGAGAACCGAACATAATGGAGACGTACGGCTAAAGCGTACGTTCCTATGTTCCTCTAGGAACTAAAGGAAACAATAATAATAATACAGTATCTTCTGTACATCTTACACTATCTAACTATTGAAATAACATTATCTAGAGTCATATGACTTCACAAATATACGTATGAATAAAGGATAATTTTAAAAGCAAACAAAAATCAATATGTCAAAGTGACCTTCTAAAATAATCATCATGTCTGCCAGTAATATAAGAAATCTGTCAACTAAGAAACCACATAAAAAGACTACCATTGAATATAGTGAACAATGTTTTCCAGGTATTTACGGCACATTACAATTTTATGATACACTGACACCTGATGAACAAATGGGTGCACTGAAAGCATTTATTTATGCTCAAATCTCTCGTTATACGCTCTATCATGGATGTATTGGTGAAAGACATTCATTTCTTTTATTAACTACAACTAAAGTAGTTGACTGTTTAACACAAACTTGTCTGCCATATTTAAATATACGTGGAATACATAGTGCTAAATTTTATGCTATTTCAAATTACCGGTCATTAATGTCCGTTGATTTATATATTGAAAAATTTTTACCAGATTTCCTTAGAGTTTTATCTAGTGAGAAATATAAGAATAATTATCCAATGATGAAATTAAGTCAAATGTTTGATATCATGCTAAAACCATTGTTTGATGAATCACAAAAACGTATATGTACAATAAAGAATAGATCAGTGATAAACTTTACACAATCCTATCGTAATATGTTTGCTACACGTACAGAATTATTATCAACTCATGGAAGAGTACCATGGGACGTACATTCTGAAAATACATCAACAGCATTGAGTTCAACACTTAAAGGTTCGAAAATCAACCCAATATAAGGGTAGTAAACAACATGATCATCCTGAGTAGCATTTTTGTTATTCTGACAAACACTTGCTGTCTGC